CCCTCGTTACTTTGCCACGACGATCGGCGGGTATGGTGGTGAGTAGTTAACATTTTAGTATTTTCCCTGCTGCAGTGATAGGCTATTTACAACATTGCAATGGCAACAAGGCTATACGTAACATCAGCAACCGAGATTGGAATGCCGCCTTCCATCACTTAGGGAGGATCGTGCATGTCACGATCCCCCAGAATATTGCCTAACATGTCATATTATGGTCCTGAACCAAACCTACCAAACCTACTGTTATGGTCCTAGCCAATGTGTAGGCCCGTCGCAATCGCTTCAAATTACAGTATTGGCGACTTGCACTGATGTCATGTTAACCATCTCCCTGGTTTAACTCCGAATTCTTGTACTTTCTTCACGATGTTCTTTTATACGTGGTTATCTCTTTTACTGCCCTTTAGCCTGCCTCCCACTTTTCCTCTCCCCACAAACTATCACAAATTTGGTAATAATAATTTTCTACCGTATGTATTAATTCGCACGGATCTCTGCAAGTTGTGTTGATTATGTTCGTGTGCTTTTACATTTAACTGTTATTTGGTTGCAGCTAAAAACTACTACTCAAAAAACTGTTTTCCCCATAAAAAACGGGGTTTTTTTTCTTTGTACACGGAATGAATTTCGTGTTTTTGAACCGTTTTTTCGATCGGAAAAAACCCGTTTTTTTGTCAGCGGTACCAGTTCTACTGGCAGAAGAAAAAAAAAACGTTTTTTTTTTAAAAAAAACCGTTTTTTCTTGCAAGCAGAAACAGGGTGTAAAGGTTTGTGGTCTAGTGGCTATGGTATCAAACGTTTATCTATTCCCATCGCGTTTACTTGCAACATTGTTTTCACAAGTATTTTGAGACGTACTGAGTATATAGAAGAGTATGACAGGTTCACCAAAACCATTTAATTAATTAAATTTCATCTTAAACCCAACTCGGAAAGTGTTGTATAAAACAGCCTGATGTGACTTAGTGTCGACGCGGCTGTCCCCACCGCGCAGACATTTGGCATCAGCGTTTCTCATACAAACCTGACACGTTAAGAAATTGCGTCAGGCTGCATCGTACAACTCTGTTGTATGATGCTTTAAACGTTTCGAAACTAAAGGCGAATTGAAACTTAAAACTCACAGTAGTTTGAATGCATATTTTATTAAAAAATTAATTATTAATTGAAAATTCAATAAGAATTGTTTCCTCTCAAAGTCAGATGCAATTTATAAGAAAGTTCCATATCCTTGTTATAGACCCTGACACTGACTGGCAGTCAATTTCAGGATAATCAGAGTAAACGTTCATAAATTTCTGAAAAAAAGTTTATTCAATATTGTTTTCTTTACGATGCTACCACAGGTTATATATAGTATATAATATTACATAATATGAATTTGAACATAAATATAAGTATTGATATGATATATGGTATCTTTTAAATTGCATAATACTTGTGCATCAATACAGACAAACATACATACATTTTATACACATATTCTTAAAAGCTGACAATAATATTTTCATGCACTTTGTGGGGATGCTAAGGCCCAATGGATGACAAATATCTTTCACAATTTTACGTTTTATTCATATTTTCCATAATGTTATACACTCACATGATATAGGCCTAGGCATAGTCACTCGTTTAGACCTAGCCTAGCTAGGCTAGACCTCGGCTAGGCTTATGCCTACTATATTACTTAAAATATACAATTTTAATTGATAAGATTAATTTTACATGAATATAGTAATTCATAACTAAACAATACATTAAGTTTAAATATAAATACTGTATAATGACATAACAAATAAATAACAATAATTTAAACGTGTACATAGTACCTATCACTACTACAATAATAAGATTAATATTTTTCAATCTTATAATCAATTTTATATAGCCGGAGTTAGTTTCGATCTGGGCAAAACCTTTGCTAATAGGTACACTTTCTCCATCAAAAGGCTTCTTCTATGAATGGAATGACCTGTTCGAAGCACGAACTCCTGTAGACCAAACCCAGTACCGTTACGATTTATAATCGTACGGGAAATCCACTCACGATTTCGAATTATGAAAAGTGTAGGCTGTGGCACCGAGACCTCTGACGATTAGTGCCAAAATTGTTTACAAAAACGTAATGCAATAATAGCATATTGACTACTATTGTATATTTTCGGAAATATTTCAGCCGCTCCAAATCTCTTTCCTATTCTTCCTTCTTCCTTTATTTTTTCACAATTTTACGCTTTGTTTTTTTTCCATAATGTTATACACTCACATGTTATAGTCACTCGTTTAGGCCTAGGCTAGACCTCGACTATGCCTATTATAATACTTAAAATATACAATTTTCATTGATAAGATTATTTTTTACATGAACTAATAATTCATACTTAAACAATACATTAATTTTAAATGTATATATAATGACATAACGAATAAATAACAATAATTAAAACGGTACATAGTATCTATCACTACTACTAGGCCTAGTAGTACAATAACAAGATTAATATTTTACTATCTTATACTCAATTTTATATAGCCGGAGTTAGTTTCGACCTAGGCAAACCTTTGCTAGAAAGGTACACTTTCTCCATCAAAAGGCTTCTTCTATGAATGGAATGACCTGTTTGAAGCACGAACTCCTGTAGACCAAACCCAGTACCGTTACGATTTTTAATCGTACGGGAAATCCACTCACGATGTTTTCATAAGCGCCCCGTTTAATAAGCGCCCCTCAGAAAGCGGAAAAAATTATTTTAAGCGCCCGGGCGCTTATTCTCGCAAGTAGGCCTACGGTAGGCCTATTTGACGACGTTTGCTAGCTTTTTACGGTCTTTCAGATCGTAGCCACTCTGGCATATTATATCAATGGAGTGGGTTAATATTATGGTATTTACTTTTGGTCTGCCAAATGACTCAAAATGTGGATGTGGACACAAAAGTTAAGGATCCATGTCACTTCCTGAACTCTGCTCTATTTATGAAACAGAAAGAAAGAAAAAAAAAAACACTGCTCACAAACAGTTGTAACCCATTTTTAGCTAAAAACACTTTTTTGTCTTTAATTTAATTTTTTTAAATAATTTATTTTTATTTGGATCAATGTAGCAACTTTTTGAACAGACTTAATCTTTATTTACATATGTTCAACCGTTTTTAAGTCTTAAACATTTGCAGTTTAAGATATGTATATTATGTTTATGTTTACAGTACAATAACGGTAATTTTCTAATTTGTAAACTTTTGCACTGCCACGCTGCAGATAAATTGTTTTAATGTATTTAGAGGCTACTCGATGCTAAGGATGCCTTGTGAGCCTCTGTTCGAAAAACAGGAAGTGCATACCGGGACATCTTTGGTGGATTGTCTACCCAAGTTTCAAACAATTCTAAGTCCGCAATGACGATATTAACGTGTTAAGAAATGAAATGATCTAAAACTACATCTTCCGGTTAGAGAATCATCATTTATATTTATTGCACTAGTGACGATTTTGTTAAAATAGAGATTTTGTATTACAGATTCATATAGTGTTTGCTGTTGTTGCATAAAGTAAAAGTCGGTTCAAAAGAAAAAAAATCCGTCCGTGCCTCTCCCGTCAGTCTAGCCGAAAAATAAAAAAGAGGGAGAAAAAATGGAGTTAAAAAGAGGGAAAAAAGGGGGGAATGCACCCACGAGTTCAGTGGCGATCCAGCAGTGAACAAAAGGAGAGCTCGATTGTTTACCACTTAATTACACTAAGGTGTGGCGGCTTGAACTTCATATTGTGACCCAACTCCCACCACCCCTCCTTTCATAAAATCTCTGGATCCGCCCCTGATGCCTATACGTTGGGTGTATTCATTTAAAAATGTCTGCATAGAGTGACAATTTATCCATTGAAGTACTAAATACACCAGTCAGTTGAATCTGACAAGTAGGCGTATAGCTGTCTTATATAGTAGTCTTGGATTGAATAATACTTTGTGATTTGTGATTATTAACCTTATACACGTAATAAAAGATCGTATAATTGGAAAACACGCTTGGCTAAACCGTTGACAGTGTATTATTCAGGGGTGGCGCCAGTAAGGGGAAGGGGAGCAGAGGCCCCACCCGTCGGGAAGAGGTACCCCCCCCCCCAGTCGGGGAGAAAAAGCACAATTCGTTAGGGGAGGAATTATATGTATTTTTTACATATTAGTAAACTTTAAAATCGATTATATGCCTTTGAAAACCCTAAATTGTTAAAATTTTCGGGGCTTCTCCCCATGACCATTTTTGAACACTCATACCACCACCCCCCCCCCCCCTTTCGGGCAAATCCTGCTGGAGCCACCCCTGGTATTATTATGATGTCTCATGGTTGATGGAAGATTATCACTGTTGTTATCCTTATTGCCATCGTAAAGTTTATGGCCACTTCCAGACACCATGATCCAAAAGGTCTAGAATTGAACAATAAAACGCATTGACTCTTTCACGCACATTATTTCTGATAACTTTGTAAACAGCAAAAGCTATAACCTTGCTAAATCTGTGTTGTACAAAGGCTTGCAATATCGAAAGAAATCGTTTGTGCCTACGAGTCACTTCATGGCAAATAGCAAATAGGTAGGTTATTGTTGGTAAAGTTCAATGTACAGTACTTTGAAAACAGGTCTATTCAATATATTCAACAATGAGGAGTATAATCAAACGAATAAGTCTATAAACCCCTGAATAATTTGTTATGCCGTTAAAGTGTATTCCACTTTTGTGTACATCATTTTGTTTGTATTCAAGTATTACGTTTCAAACATTTTTCGAATTGATTCAGTCACCTCACGTACAGCTATGGTTACCGACAGCAAGAAATTATAACCTTATAACGTGTTATTATGAAAGAAATTTAAAAAATGGTTTGTGCTGCTGAGATAATGATTTATCTGTAGGCATACACGATAATAGAATTATGTCAAGTACTTCGACCCGATTCAACAAAATAACCGAAAAATAAAAGATCGTATGAAAACACATCGTAATGAAAAGGGATGACAGTTTGTTTAATAAGTATACTTTACCAATAACATTTTGCCAAGTGACTGAAGTTTCTGCTATTCATCAATACAATTTTATTAGTCAAACTCATAAAATGGCTTGAAATTTTCTTTGCTTGGCACAGCTAACAACACAAATATGAGGATAAAATATACACATTACAGGTCATACAAATAAGTGGTTAAAATAGATGGTTAAAATAAGTACAGAGTAATATTTAATATACAGTAAAAAATACAAATAGTAAGCAGTGAAAAACTGTAAAAGACTATAACATGTTAAAAAAAATTACCAATAACAAATTTATTCATTCATTCATTCATTCAGTTATTCATTCATAGGTTCATTCATTCATTGGTTCAAACCACCCGCTATTCTTATCAGCAGGAGGGCAGAAATACAAGTTTCCATTGTGCACGGTATTTTGAACGTTTAAGCAGTTGGCCTCCGATTTGCCCATTGTACACTTTCAATAACGCAGTACACTTTTCGGAAAGACTGATATTGTCTCCAGATCTGCTGCCCAATTCACCTCCAGAAGAACCTCAATGGAATGTATTTCGACTTTTAACTCGTGTTTTTATGTTTAACAATATTTAAAAATAAATATTAGTTCTGATTAAATTAGGAACAAAAAATTATTCTTTTTATATATTAAGTATAGAAAAGAGAAATCAACCTTATGCATTTCATTTTAATTTAGTTATAAAGTTCTCTTTTAATATTCTTATATTTATATTTTATTTTTTTATTGTAAGTTGTTGATGTTGCAACCACTGATAATGCTTTTGTTATAAACATTTATTTTGTTGATTCTTTTATAGGCTTCAGGCCTAGCACATAATCTTCTTCATCAGATCCATTTACTAAGCCTGGTGAAACCTACAGACTTACTATTTTTGCATTTTCTAGACCTTAAGTATACATTTTATACACATATTCTTAAAAGCTGACAATAATATTTTCATGCACTTTGTGGGGTGCTAAGGTCCAATGGATGACAAATATCTTAAATAGTTCAACCTTTGATCATATAACGCCATACAAAGCTGTTTTAACATCGTCAAAGCTAAGTTTGTGAGCATTTTAGGGATTGCGGACACATTTGTGTTATTGCGCATTTCTGACGCAATCCCCGGATTCAAATTAATGAAAAGATCTAAACAATTTTATAAAATACGAATCTAAAATAATTATAGATTCATATTAATGCATTTCACATTAAGCGTTTTGTTTTATATTTGTTTTTAAATCTCTTTGCAAATTATTTAATTTGCAACTTGTTGATTATTATACTGCAAATTTGTATCACAAAACAGAACCATATGTAAAACAGGTTGTAATACCCTCCTGCTATGTTATCCAGTATAAATAGTGAAGTTGTTGTGTGATCTAAATTGATTGTTTGTAATTAAAAAGAGTGTTAGTTGATAAATTTCTTCCGATGGCATTTTCTGTAGCAGTGTTTTCAACTTAATTTGTAGCAATACTTAACTACAAATGTTCTTTAATCACTTTACACCAGTTTCTTTTTGGTAGTATGACACAAGTCCTTCCTTGATGTCTTTTCGTTCAACTTTGTTCAGCGCATCACTCATCTTGTCGAGTTGATTGACTTTATCTTCCTGTCTGCTTCGCCACTGGACCAACATTTCAATGCAGGCATCTACAATTGGTGGTGACAAGTCAGACGCAATTTGACTCAATTCAGATGGAGTTAAACCAAGATACAAGCCCAATAAATTCCAATTACAGTCAAGTTTTTCGGCGATAAACAGCAAGTCTATTTCTGCCAAGTGACCTGAGACGAAAAAAAAATCTCTAATTTGTGAAATTTATTGAATGTCAACTTTATGATACACATTATTTTCATTAACATATTTACGCTGAGAATACATTAGGCTGCAAGTTATTATCATCAATATGCCTACTATTATTGTTACTAGTAATAATTTTAAAATGTCAAAAATGGGGAAAAAATTATACTAGTTTTCACAATACACCATGTTATGTGCATCATGTGTAGCCCAAGACGTTTAGCTCCAACATTAATAACTCATTTAACAGTAACAGTGTAGCAGGCCCACCTATTATTAACATACTATTAGAATAATTTGAAATTAAAGTTTGAAAATGCCATTTCAGGCTTATCTAGAGGTGCATATGAATTTGTACGCACTCTTTAGTAGCGCGCTGGCATCAATTGATAAAACTGCTCTAAAAAATACCCTGAAAACACCCTTTTTTACAGCCTTTTCTACCATAACTTTGGAACTGCTCATCAGATCAATTTCCTCCTTTTTTTAAATAAAAGATCTATCTTTCATCTTTTTAATGAGATGTAATGAAACGAGATTGATTTATGTTTTATCCTGTCACTTTTCGATTAAAAGTAGGCAACTACATTGGATTTCCAGCGTAGAAAGCAATTTTTTACATTTCGCGGCTCATGTTACCAAATTCTAATCAGAATAACTCGCAAAGTATTTGACCAAACGATTTCTTTCTTTCTGTAAGTTGATCTTTATTCTTTCTACCATACTTGTTGTAAAAATGGTTGTGATTCGTCAATATTTAGGTCTGTCACTTTTGGAAACCAATGGAATCAAGCCTTCCAAACACCATTGAGTGTATTGTATACAGGCGCTTGTTTCAGCGTAATCATTTTTCTTCGCTGGTGACTGATGCGAAAGGCTGGAGCGTGCCTAGCGTTTGTTTGATAAGTTAGACCCTTTCTATTGCTCTTTTTACTTCATAAAATATATGAATGGAAAGCTTATGATTAGTAGATTCTCACTATGCAAATATAATTAGGTTTGCAGTTATAATTTTGCTTCCCTAAAAATTCACATGTTACAGTGAAATGAATGCAAGCGTTCCCCGGTTCACTACATAGCCCACAGGAGTGTGCCTGGTGTTTGTTTGATAACTTAGACCCTTTCTATTGCCCTTTTTACTTCATGAAATATATGAATGGAAAGCTTATTAGTAGATTCTCATCATGTAAATATAATTAGGTTTGCGTTCGCCGGTTCACTACGTAGCCTACATCAAGTGCTGAACTCGCAGAGGAAACATGGAATGATACGCACTAGAAAGCAAAAATTAATCTGTTCTGTTAGGTGCTGTTTTTGGCTCTTACAAATTCATATGCAATAGCATTATATAAAATCCATCAGTCCCTCTCTGGCTGAGCTCTCTCTATTCATTGTAATTCCTGACATTTCTAACACTTTCTAAGAGACGTTCTAATAGTCCACAGATGGCTAAGATGGTTCTTAGCAGGAGTGATAATGAAAACATGCATAGAGGGAGTATACCACCTTTAGGAAGATGTGTACTAACCTTGCTCCTCTCTGTGATGTGTAGGAACTTGAAGCAGACGTGATTGACTTGGTGTAACATCTTTGTCTACTTTGTAGCTATGCCTTTTACACACTTGATCAGCAAGACTGTACAGTTTTTGTTGTTCAAAAGCATGAATCATGATTGGCATTTGGTGCTTTGACTGACCATCTCTCCAAGTTACCAGTGATTCCATGATGCTGTCTTCCAACCGTCTGTTGCTTTTTGAAATGTTATTGATATTTACCCACTTAAGTCCAAGACGCACTCCAAGTCTCCTCCATAAGTTGGAACTCAAGTTGTCACAGATAAATAGCAGGTCTCGATCGTCAAAGCTTTCTGATATTAGATTTAATAACAATGAAGCAAAATTTAATGCTGATAATAATAATATGCTAGATTTATGATGAGGATGACATAATTAATGTCGAAATATTGAATCCCAACACGATGGCGTGTATTTCAATACTTGGAGTATGTATTATACTTTCTTATCTAGATTTATGGAGCGCATAATTCTGTGAAACTTAAATAAATGCCTACTTACCTAAAATGGAAAATTAAAAACCAAAAGGTAAAACAAATTCCGCCATTCATTTTTACAAAGAGAACCTATGTAGGAGGCCTATGATATTCGAAATGACTATTTGTATAACCTTTTTAGTATATTTTATAATTTAACCTAGAGAATTTACACATGTGGTTTACCAATTTACTAACTAAAATGTATGTGATGAGTTATGATTGACTATAAGCCATAAAATAAGACTGAAGCATACAGTAAAAAAAATAAATCACAAATGATCGATACCAAGTTTTAATTGTCAATGTTGTGCATTTTTGTACTTAAGTTACCTGCTTGTTTTGCATTGATCTGGGTATCTTCATCGATCTTGCCGTCAAACCACATGCCTGCTAGATCACTGCGTCCATGCTGCTTGAGAGCGGTGCACAACACATTAAGTTGATGTCCTTCACTACTGAAACTGCTTCTCCAATCCTTTAACATATTTTTAACAGCCTTAGGAGTCTCTCTTTCATCAGCATAGTACCTATTAACATCTGACCACCTAAGTCCCAGACGGACACCCAGCCTTCTCCAACTGAGGTCCATTTTCTCGGAGACTGTTGCAATAGTGGCGTCATCCACAAATCCTAAAATACCAGATATCAATCAATCAAACAAACAAACATTTATATTGCGCCAATTCAAAAAAAAAAATAAATTAAAAAAAAAAAAATATAATAATAATATGAGATTACTTGATTGTTTCAACAGTATGGACTTTATTTCCTTGACAAAATCCATAATAAAATTACAGATAATTCACAAAATATAAATCTTGTTAAAAATTATAATATTAATTTTTACCTGCTTTTTACAAAGTCATTTACATTATTTTCAAAAATTACCCCTTCCTCCCCTGAAAGCGCACACAATAAAATGAAGATTTTTGTAATTTTGAGATTCTCATATCATTTTTTTTTATAAACGAATAAGCCTACATGCCTAACCCCTCCATCTAAGGCGTATGTTTTTACTCTTTCGAAAATGATGGATGGCCCTAGGAGATGGAAATATTTTGGTTATTAAATTATATGAGATAAATGTATGCAACGCAGTACCCTTAAATACATTTTTTTCTATTTAAACTTGCCTTCAGGATTAGTTACTAATTCTTGCGACTGTAAAACATCTGTGAAATGAAAATAAAATATAGATATACTTTGTTCAAAGAAATTTTGTATTTATAACAACAAGTAGAGCATTATTGTTTTCTATTATCAAATTAACTTTTGTCAATAAGTGGTAAAGTGTTGATATTATGTAAATTCAAGTTTCATGTGTTTTTACTATCAGTGGTCTGAAGTTAGATTAAAAAAAAGAACACTCTTTTGTGTTCAAATAGATGTGCCACACCACAATCATATAATGCGCTTACCTTCCTGTTGTGGCACGTCATCTCCAAATAGGCGGCGGTAGCGCTTCACTTCAATTCCATTACTTCCACATGGCAGCACATCCTTGTCAAACTTGCGCACGATATGCATGTGAGCGTCATTACACACACAGCGTATGTACCTCGTTAATTCAACCCCTCGTGCACCGCTCTGGCTAAAGATCCTTAACTCCTTTTCTAGAAAACTCAAAACCTGTATGAATATCAACATTTTATAATGAACATACTGCAGTATTAATATAAGACTCATTAACATTAAAAATCATTTATAAATGCACTCTCTAGATCTTTGGACTTCATAAACGCATAATGCTTACATGGCATGGATTAAGTATATAAAATGCACGTTACCTTCTTACAAACACTTGGTAAAGGATCAGCATCCTCAATAGGCTTATCAGGGTTGAGGATCTTTATTCTGGTGATTGTTGTCTGTAATCGAAACAATCACTATTATTAATACCTACTACAGTATATAACCTTTTTATATATTGTGATGTTGGTTTGGTTTGGATATTTTTGACATATTTACAATACAACACATAAATTTGTTTGGTTGTCACTTAAACATGAGTTAAGCATGATGATAAAAATAATTTACAATTTATCCTAATTGAATTTGTATGAAAGACAATAAACAATAATAAACAGTATATGTTTTAAGGATATTTGTTGTAGTTTGACATATATTATTTGAAAATCCCTAATTATTAGGCCTCTGTGGTTATAATAATAATAATAATAATAATAATAATAATAATAATAAATAATATTATTATTTATTGTATTTACTATTATTTTTTTGTATTTCATTTCATCTATTAGCATATGCCTTAATAACATGATGAATTATACACGACAAACATACATATTTCTGACTTGGTTGTGTAGTCATTTTTGGTCATGATAGGATGTTACTAATGTAACTGATGGAATTTAACCCAGGGCCTTTGTATTAATAGGCACTGACCACCATTAAATTATATAATCCAAATACATTTTGAATTTGTACACAAAACAGACATACCTGGAACATACGACGATGCTTGATGGTAGCTACATTCAGAACCACGTGGTGAAGCTCTTCGATGTTCATCTCCACATGCTCATAAGATAATGTAGGTTCATTATCTTCTATTTGGAAGCTCTCGATGAATTTAGTTACTCCACGCTGAAAAAGATCGTCGGGTAGATAGCTACCAAAGTCATGAAAGATTGAAATTGTGCGCTTCCCATCATCCGGGGGCGATGTCTTTACACATTCAGACTTCAAGCGTGACAGAACGTAGAAAATACGTTCACCACCCTGAAAAAACAGAAGCATTGTAGGTAGCAAGAAATTGTAAAAAAGAGAATAATATTATAAACATAGGAGTGTTGTTTCGTAACCATGACCTCCAGGTATCTAGCCTGATATCTTAACCACTAGACCAGCGAGCTTACGCTTGGTGACTCATCACTAGTCAAGCGCAAGCTTGGTCTTGTGGTTCAGATATCAGCTTAGATACTGGAGGTTGTTGGTTCGATTCCCACCTAAATCACTTGCAAATTTTTTTTGCCAGTATTTGGGAACGTACTGAGTATTCGGTACAATAGCACGGCAGGTAGGGCAAACATCACTCCTATGCTATTTCCTGATGCAAATTCATATTATTATAAACATATTCACTGTTATATTTTGTTTAAATTATTTGAAATTGATGTAATGAAAAAGGCGCCAATAGAAAAATAAATATTAAAAAATACTAGTGTACCTTTCTTTCGCACACCAGTCCAAACTTCTGCATCAGAGATACAAAGAAGTCAAACGTCTTATCTGAAAAATTGAACTCCTTCCAGAGGTGTCTCAAAAGATGCTCCTCTAGGATACCCAAGTCCAACCTCCTCCAGGCCTTTCTGTGCTTTGGTTTCTGAAATTTAATCATTTTAACTTAGGCTTGTGTTATGCTTTTATCACAGAAATACAGTATCTGAAACAAGGAAATCTACCTACACTTTTGTTGTAATAACAAGGAGGCTGAAATCGAATTAAAAGCACACTCTGTACAACAATAATTTTCAATCGTAGAAAAGTGTAAATAAGAACAAAATATGAATTATTTTAGCCTAAATTGGCCAGAAAAATAATTAGCACACAGAGCCTAGCTCGGCAAAACTTTACTGGTTGTTATATAAAAAAATGTACAGTACTTCACAAAATAATATGTAAATGTGTGCAGTTGAGCTTACCATAAGTTTAGGCTCAATAACGGTTATTATTGTTTTAAACATGTCAACTACTTTCATCAGATCTAAAACAATGATGTCCTTTAGAGCGTCGTCATCAGGAAAGTAGAGAATCTCGCCAAGGTCATGTAAATACTCAAGTAGCACCCTTTGAGCATCTTGTTTCACCCCACACCGCTCAACCAAATCAATCACCTGTTAAAGCAATAAAAACCCAAAAAACATAACAAAATGGTTTTAAATGGGGGTGGAAGAATACTGGTAGATACAGCTGTATATTCTCATAGCAATGGCAACAATAATAGTCATTATTTTTGTGCAGAGAATTGATGGATTATTCTGGATTTTTGAGCAAGGAGGTATTTTCTTGGTTTGAGTATGATTTGACTAGTAGTCTAACTCAAACTGAACTTAGAGAATGTTCAATAGATGCCTACCTCATTGGTTGGTAAATAGATATTCTTCACCTTCAACTTCTGAATTTCCTGTTGAACACGCAACCATTTCAATGGTAGTTTTCTAACCATCTGCTTTGCAAACTTTAAAATTTGATGCATGATGTTGGAAATGTTGCTCCTGGCAAAAGGTAAGCTGTTCTCAATAGCAAAGAAAATTGACACCATGGTTTCATAAGGTTTCCCTTCCAATGCTTTCCTAATTTTATCGAATATTTTTTCAGCCTGAAGTTAAACAAAAATATTAATCATCAGACACAAATATGAACAAAATTCAACAACATCAACAACAAAAGGGCAGCAATGTAAAAACAAACAATAAAATAACAATAGCAGTGTGTGTTTAAGTGATCACCTTAATTAAGTATCAGCCATTGCTAAAAATGCCATCCAATTAAAATAATGTTTGATTTTTAGATTTAGATTTTTGTAGTGTATAACCCGACCAGGCCCACTTTTTTCTTGTCGGGGACCCCCACGTCAAGCAAATCCTGGAGCAACCACCCCTTCCCCCACCCCACTGCAGTGATGCAATGTATATTATAGCACACAATGGAAAATGCAGTTGGCCACTATTTATAAGGTGCATGTTAAATAATGCAGCGCACTCTGAAAAAATTAGAAAAAAAATTACATTACTGTGTGAAAATCAAACAGCTTTGTTCAGCTATTTTTCTTGCTGTCTGCAGTCCTTTTATTGTCGGGTGGGTAAGGTCAAGGTAAATGTAAAAGCAATCTTATTCATCCAAAATGGAAACAGATCTCTATGTTCACAAAATATGGCTGTTTTGGCCTTGTGCCAGTCATGATTGCCAGTGGTACGCCAGAATGCAATTTACAATTATACCACAGAAAGTGTTAATAGCTTAATTCAAATATTAGTAAAGAAAACAAAAAAATTAAAATGTTGTAACTTTATGTCTTGGCTTTTGTCATCAGGTATTATAAAATTTGTTTTGTATTTGTGTGAAAATTTGATATTGTAGTCACATTTTGAATAAATTGTTATATAATAAAAATGATTCATGGTAATATATAAAAAAGATTTCTTTTCTCAAAATCAATAATACTTTGAATTCTCTCCCTGAAGATGTTGTTCTGGCTCCCTCGGTGAACTGCTTTGTGGGGTTACAAATGCCACTGAGGCCTAATCCTTTCCCACTACAATCAAGTAAGTATCAAGTATATAACTTGTACACATTTAATTTATTTGGTCTAACTTATTACCTTCTATTTTGTTTGTGGTTTATTTATGATATGTTACGTACTTTACACTGTTTTATTGTTTACTTGGTGTTTGGGTGTATGATGTAGTTGTTTACCTTTCTTTTCTTTTCCTCTTCATTCCCCTTGAGGCTGCCTAGGTGAGTACCAATCACTAGTACTGGTGGTGAAGGTTGTCCATCTTCCAATTCTGAATCCCTACTGTTTGTATATACTGAACGAATCCAGTACAGAATGAACTCAAGGTTTGTCATCCGATGTTCGTATTTATCACCCTGAAATAAAACAGAAATTAATACAGTAAAATAATTTAAAGAAACTATCGCATGTATTAATGTACTGCGAGTCATCTGTATAAGACCACTTAATCCCGATTTTAAAGTTGATAAAATTCATGCAAAACCTGATAATGAATAAATTAATGTTGATAAGAAATAATGCTTACAGTGGTTGGATCGAAGACTGCAGCGGGGACGTCAAGATCATCTTCTAGGTTAAATACCACACAAACAATGGCAAAAGATACCATAAAAATCTACAAAAAAATGATTCACAATCAATTACTGTATTTTTACTATCGAAAACTGAATGAAATACCTAGAATAATTATTTTTGTAATTTTAATAACTATAATTTTATTCAATTTATTATTCAATATAATGACTTTACTCGTTGTATCACATGATATATTGGCTGGCCTCCGAAGTCCCAGATACTCATAATAAAATCGTTGCCAGATTTTTGCCATTCTTGCGTCGCATCTCCTCTTGAGAACTCGAGTTCTTTTATTCGCTCCTGGACTTTAGTGGCGATGGTTTCGGGGACCTCTTTCATCAATTGTGCCAGTGTCTGCTCTTTGGTATCCGATTCTAATTTCGGGTTTCTGGAGTCAACATTCGATGATGATTGTCCTTATAGAAGATTCAGAATAAAAACTTGCATAATTAAAAAAAAAGAAATAGTAGGATAATGGGGTTTTTCCACTGACCCTACAAGGTTAGGTAGTGCTTGGTATAGTGAAGTGTCAGTGAGTTAGTGAGAGTTTTTTTTTTATCTCTTGTTCCAAGTTCTATTAGCTGTTCCATGTGGTATTCTTTTGGCAATGTACCTTTAATACTTGTTCCATGAGCAACCATACGTATTATGTTGTTAATAGAGGTGCGTCAGAGCACCAAGGCTATGACATGTGATGGCCCTCTGTGTGAAATACCGATTAAAAATAATGTATTCATTAAATCAATTTCTTATGAAATGCAAACACGAACGTCTTACCCTGATTATATTTCCTCTTTTTTTTAGCTGGTGGTGACTCGCTCTTCAAATATTTGTAAAACAAAAAGAAATAATAAATCAACCATTATATACTTTAGCTGGATTATATCCATTATTTGTTATTATTAGTAGCATTAAATATTTCAATATTAAAAAACTTAAATGCTCGTGAAAATCACTAAAATGATAGTGTGTAAATCTTACTTGTCTTGTTACTTCTACATTCTTCTCCGTTTCTTTTTTTAATATCCTTTTTGCCATGGAATCTGCCATTATTGCTTCATACATGTCATTGGCACCAGCTGTTCAGAGATAGAGTATAATTAATTTATTCGAATAAGATTTTAATATATGATTAAGTTCATTTTGTTAGTTCAATAATTGATTTTAGACTGGTCTCTTAGTGAATAGTGATTTGTATATTTATTGACAAATTTACAACAATCCCAACATTGCCGAGAATTGACTTATAGGACAGGTACAAGGAAGTTTCATATATAGTGAAAGCAGTTAGGCACACTGCAATTATTTGGAATCCGTACCTCGAGGTTGGTTTTCAATCCTTCACTGTGCATTTCGCTTGTGTCCTTGAGCAAGGCACTTTATTATTAATGTACTGCGAGTCATCTGTATAAGACCACTTAATCCCGATTTTAAAGTTGATAAAATTCATGCAAAACCTGATAATGAATAAATTAATGTTGATAAGAAATAATGCTTACAGTGGTTGGATCGAAGACTGCAGCGGGGACGTCAAGATCATCTTCTAGGTTAAATACCACACAAACAATGGCAAAAGATACCATAAAAATCTACAAAAAAATGATTCACAATCAATTACTGTATTTTTACTATCGAAAACTGAATGAAATACCTAGAATAATTATTTTTGTAATTTTAATAACTATAATTTTATTCAATTTATTATTCAATTTATTATTCAATATAATGACTTTACTCGTTGTATCACATGACATATCGGCTGGCCTCCGAAGTCCCAGATACTCATAATAAAATCGTTGCCAGATTTTTGCCATTCTTGCGTCGCATCTCCTCTTGCGAACTCGAGTTCTTTTATTCGCTCCTGGACTTTAGTGGCGATGGTTTCGGGGACCTCTTCCATCGGCTGTCTCTTATACACATCTAGATGTGTATAAGAGACAGGTCACTCAGTCAAGCAATTAATCGATTAAATATGAACTTATGTTCGTATGAACAGCTCACTTTGTAGGAGATGCATGAGCATTTCTTTTTGTTTTTCTTTGTTGGTAGAATCATACTTTTCACATTTGTTGTTCACATACACTTCAGCTGGAGTTTGACCACGCTGCAAAGACAATCACATATCATATCATACCTCATGAATTAAATAAATAATCAAGCAAAACAATTACATTTTAAAGCACTTCAACAAATGTTACCCCAAAACAATTCAAAACAATTGAAATGAAATTTACATATCAATTTAATTATTCTTTAATTCTACAATTGCATCTTGTAAATATTCATGTTAACAATAAAACATTGACAAAAATCAATAGTTGCTACAACGATCATGAATAAACATTTCGCTTACTGTAGTGTATAGGCCTAAATCCTAATATTATTAGTTGCCATACAATATCGACATTATAGTTGCCATCATTAATTTCAGTATGCTCCTTATCACCATTATTTAATTATAAACATCTTCATCATCACCATAATCATAATAATCATCATCATCTTCATTGTCATCATTTTTATCTACCTTACCTGGTTTTTTAATTTGGCATTCGCTCCAGCCTTTATTAAGTAATTAGTTGCATCTATGTGATCTCCATACGAATGGTTAAATTGTAACAACTTGTGAAGTGGAGTATTGCCGTCCTGTAACACAATTGAAAACAGTGTTAACCAACGACAGCTCATAACCGTACAAAGGATAGCATAATGTGAATAAACAACATATTCATTATTACCAATCCAGACACAGTCAAAACCTCTGTAAACAAATGAAATAATGCAATCAATAACATTATAGTTAAAATTTAGGTAAATAACTAACTTTCACTTTGTATGAAATACATTTTCATCGATAATTTTCTTCCATAACAAAATTTTAAAACTACTATTATGATGCAATCAATAACATTACAGTTAAAATTTAGGTAAATATAACCCAACTTTCACTTTGTATAAAATACATTTTCATGACAATTTTCTTCCATAACAATATTTTAAAACTACTATTATTTTATACTAAATAATGTCCTTTATGATGATTATATTCTCTACTAGCATATATACCTGTGCTCCACACGGTTTTGAAGTTTAGTTTAGTTTTGTCTTTATTAACGTCACACTCTTATAATACAATAAGACCAGCCAATACTGGCTTATGAGTGACACATCTTAAAAAATACATGAAAAAAGCTTCAAGGGCTCATAACTTGTTTTTTTCTTTCTTTTCTTTTTTCACTTTTTTTCCCTTTTTTTGTTTTTGTGTACTACCACGCAACATGAAAGAAAGGAAAAAGTCTACAAATAGAACATATAATAATATAAAAAAAAACCACACAAATCTCAACATTAGTGATTAAACAAAATAGACTGCCGTATTGAAAGAATCTGATGGGCGAATTTTGCAACCATATAACAGTGATTGCCATCACTCATCAAGTATGTAAATTTTTCAATATTACTTAGGTCAGAGAAGGATGGATTAAATTTAGCAAGATCATTAAACAGTTGGGTTCTGAAAGAAGTGTATACTGAACATTCAATAAAACAGTGCAATTCATTTTCAATATAATCCAGATTACACAGATTACATTTCATCTCATTAACTGGAGTATTGTTATAACGCCCGGTTTCTATGGCAATGGGTGCACAACCCGATCTGAAAAGGGCCAAAGCACGTCTATTACATTTCTTCATGCAAGTGGTCACGTAACTGGCTGTACCGAAGCTA